AGTCCAATCCTACTTCTTTTTATATATGCTTTTAACTGGTTGGGCACAGAGTGGCTTTCTAGCTGATGTCAAAATCCCAACTGCTTCAAACAGGGTAGTACCGGGGGTTCCCACCTCGATACGTCCGTTTTTCCCTAAGTTTGGTACAAAAACTGATGGGTAAATTGAGGCAGACGGGAGACAACAGTATCCGGGTACGAGCGGTAGAAGTGACCCGCCTGACCTACTGGGAAGGAACCAAAGCTGCCCAAATACGTGAAAGCCCTCTTGTAGGTGTTGTGCTACGACACATAGACACTTCTTTGATGCACTTGCGGTAGGTTGGATGACTGTATTCAGCATCTGGCGGGCCATCAGACTAGTGTCAGTACGAGTGACTTCATGTGATGAACGACCGCAGTCTTAAGTTCACCGTGCTGAGCTCCAGTGTGCACTGTACTTACTTGGAAATATTCCACGAGAATAATAACGAAAATTGATTCATATCAGTAATACAATTTTCCAGATAACGCTCCTTTCCACATTTTTCAACCCACCCCACACAGTGGTATGCGAACCCGGCTCCGGTGGAGGAGAGTCTCTGGGGCGGTTCATCGCGAATACTAACCTTGAAAACCTCCAATCTTCGATCCTTGGTAAGAAATCATAGCAGAGAGCTGCTCGGCCCCTGAACCCTCGACCTATTTGTAAAACTCTATGCTCCTATCGCCGGCTCAAGCGCTTTTCTATATCCTGTCACTAGTGACGAGGATAGTTCCGGTAACGTAAAAGCTCTTGAAATCCACTGCCAGATTGTCAGAAGAAATCAGGCCATTCAGCCCACGATAGCTCCGGTTTGACGGGTTGGCAGAATTGCCAATACCGGTTAATGAGGTCCAGTATGCCTAGTGGGCTGATCTTACACCGTGTTAGGAAAATGCCACTCCCTCTCAGTAGCCCTTTGCCTCTGGATCCGGAGATTACAGGGCTGGCGGAATTAGTGGATCCCGAGATCTTCCGCGGTATGATATGATAGCTCGAGCTCAGCACCCGAAAACAAACCCCACTCAATCAATACACCATCACCACTACCAATTTCGAAGATGCGAGCCCCAAGCTCCCTACTGCCCGTACATGGGAAATATTTCTACAACTGTCCGAGGCCATTACTCCTAGCCCTAGACAACGGCAACGGCCCGAAACAACAGACCCAAAACGCCTGCCCAAATACCCTAGTCTAGCTTGTCGACCTCACCCTGAACCGGATAGACTGGCCCTTGAAGTCCACTATCACACCAGGCGAAGTCATTTAACACCTCTGAGCAGTGCCGAACTCACCCATCTCTCTTCTCATAGACCCCCAAAAATCCCCACGACGGATACCAGGACGAAGGGCCATTTCGGGGGGGGCAGCTGAAGGAACCAATGGACGTTTCTACCTCCTCCGGCTCCTATGCAAAGGGCACACGCGTGGAACAGGCAAGCAGCACTTCACCCATTTTCACCTCGGCTCCTCAAATGCGTTCCCCAACTTTATACTTTGTGGCTAAAGGCCTCACTCAGTTTCTAACATCTATGGTACGCCAACCCAGGAAACCATGAGAACGAAATCGACAACGATATACCCTCGTCAGGGGACCGGCACACAAAGGCAGGTTCCCATCGAAAGGCCATCCGAGCCCACCAACGTTCACCATAACACCGAGAACCAAACTCAACCCGAACGGAAAGTTCAAGCCGTCGTGGGAGATTTCAGCACGAATTCCACCACCCCCCGGTATACCAGGCACTGAGCGGTCTCGGCTTGCAGTCAATATTCAATGAACCTCGCATCGAACTAGGAGTGAATCATTTGGACCCTTTCTACGCGGCACTCGAACAGTTTTCCGTTGAGGATTTTGAAGCGTACGGATTGACCTTGGACGGTTAGGGTTTGATCCCTTTTTTGGGATCGCAAGAGATTAAACATACGGCACTATCAAGCAACATTCTCGGTCCCAATTCTTAGCAGAGGCGTACGTATAGTATCCCCCTAAGAACGTTACGGGGTTCATGACCTCTTCGTAGCAACTGACCGGAAGGGGTGAGAGTGGGGTATACGGGTTCATTGAACATCTGGATTAACAAACAGCTAGACTGCTACTCCTGCAACTCCTTACCGCCGAGGGAAGATAGATGACCTTCCGTCAGGTAAATAATATCCTTCTATCCCTGTTTAAAAACATGCTAATCCTCCATAGTTCGAAGGCTCTTCCCAATGTCCATCTAGTTCGAAGCCGGTGTTACCCAGTCAATAATCTGGACCCTCTTAGCACGATATATATCAAATCCTGCCCACCCGAGAACCCCCTCAACTAAGCTGTCACGGGGAGAGGCGTGAATGTCAGTGGAGTGACCAACAAATAGCCCAACGGTATAGTGGGAGGAATAGCCCTCGCCTTCAGCAGTGTGTGAGAGAAAGGTATGGTTAGAAACTTCGCTGTCCCGTCTATCTCCATCCTCTCTAAACCAACGATATAGACAGGACTATATCTAAAACAGAATCGAAGCCTTTCTATCCTTCCATCGAGCACCACATATATCTTTCTTCCCCCCCACATGTCCTAATCCCCCACACACTCCAGCGATAACAAAAGAAAGACATGTCTAGAGAAACCTCTCCGCAAATCACTAAATCACCAGAACAATCCATGGCACTCCCAAACGATTCTCCGTACTCCCGTCACTTCCGGGATCATCCACAACACCCTATCGTTCCTCTATGACCTCCAACGAGAACCTCCCCGAGGGGATCCCTACATCACCAATGACCCTAGAGGCCCTGATTATAGGTATATCACCAATACCGCTGGGAAAGGGCCTGTAAAGTTCACTGCATGGCGTCCCGCGGATGGATATCACCTACACCCGCTGCACGGTGTGGGTTATTCCAGCGAGAGAGCTATCAAGACAACGCAGCAGAAGCAGCTTAATCCGATACTTGATGGTGCCTTGGTTCCTTGTTGCGTTGATGAATGAGGGGGGTTTATCTCACGGTACATAATATCTCCATTACTAACAGCCATACCGTCCCTGGACGGGCTCTCACTGTGCAGTGCCCAGTTGGTTAGGGGGGATATATAACTTAAGATTCGTAAGATTGCCAGACCAGTAGGAGCTAGATAACACAACATCACGGCGACCCATCCACTTTACTGCTTGGTGGTAAAACTTTGGAACTTGTTGTAGGGTTTGAGTGTAAAAAAAAAAAAAAAAAAA